AACATAGTCGAGCATACCACCATTCACACCAAAAGAGCTTCGACGTGCAATCAAGAGACAAAAAGGCAAGTACAGCGACACTGCAGGACTCACAGCCGAACTTCTCGAAGCAGTGGGACGCGCCATTGAATCGCACTTACTTCAGCTTTGCAACGACATTATCAAGCCAAACCACCCATCACCCACAAACTGGAAGAGAACGACGATAACGGTGACATGCGAACCTGGGGACCCCAATCTACCGCAAAATTACAAACCGATCGTCACCATACCACTGCTGTACAAACTCATGTCCCGTTTCCTCTGCAATCGACTAGAAGCCATATTTGACGCACAACAAAGCCCTGATCAGGCCGGCTTCCAGCGAGGCTTCAGCACGGACGACCACTTCTTCACGACGGCAATGTTGCACGAGCAATCACACTGTCGGCAGTTACCACTCCTGGGCGGCAGCAGTCGACTTCAAGAATGCGTCCGGCTGCGTGGAAGCCAAACACCTATGGGGCGTTCTACGACAGCAACATATTCCCGAAGCGTACAGCACCCTCCTTCAGCACATGTACAACGATTAGACGGCGACTGTCCGCACTGACGCCTCCAGTCGCAGTTTTAGCATACAGCGGGGTCTGAAGCAGGGAGATCCGCTCAGTTCTTTCCTGTTCAATGTGCTGCTGGAGCATATCTTCCGACAAATCAAGCCCGGTTGGCAACGCAAAAAGTTTGGCATCAAGCTCGGTTTCGCTCAAGCAACAAGCATCACGGCCTACGCTTCGCAGACGACGTTTTGCTGTACGCCCCGAGCCTTCGCCAACTTACATGTTTGTTGCGCGACTTGAAGAGCACAGCATCCTGCTGTGGACTCAGTACACCCCGACAAGACCAATATGCTCACCAACGTCCGCCAGAAGGCTGGCAGAACAATCGCGCACATCGTCTTAGATGGTGCACGCATAGACAGTCTACCCAACGACCAGAGTACGAAATACTTGGGCAGAAAACAGGATCGCCGCGGGACGGTCGAAGTTTCACCAACGACGGTGCGAACTTACCAACGAAAAACTCCCATCGCATAGCAGACTCCGACTCTTCAGCGGCGCGATCACACCATGCGTCATGTACGGTTGCACTTCGTGGACACACACGAAGGGTATGCTCATCACGTTACAACGAGCACAACGGAAAATTCTCCGACTGATCCAAATCACGCCGAGAGCAGACAGACAGCACGCGCCGGCTGCAACACCAACGACGGTACACGTGCCGACGTCAACGACACCGAATCCAGCACAGACACCAGGACAGATAACAGCACCGGACGACGACGACGACGACGACAACAGCACCAGCACCAGCACCGACCACAGCACCAACACCAACACCGAACACAGCACCACCACCAGCAACAGCACCAATCGAAAACAGCGCCAACACCGACAATAGCACCTGCAGCGGCAACAGCACCAGCACTGACAGCAGCACCAGCACCAACACCGATACCGACACCAGCACCGACAACAGCAACCGACGGAGACAACGACGATAGATCTGAGTCTTGGGTTCATTTCATACGGAGAAGTACCTCCACTTACTTGGCACACGCCAAACGAGCACGAGTCGACGATTGGACCGACGTATACTTCAAGCGAAATGGGCGTTCGCAGCACGCGTGGCCAACCTTGATCACGACAGGTGGACACGACTGACTGCAAGCTGGGAGCCATGTACACACGACCTACGCCCAGCCTTTTCGCCGACATGGCGGGCAAAAGAAGCTTTGGCATGATGACATTGTTTCAGCATCTTATCTACATGACGTGGCCGGCACCGACAACGATTCCAAATGGTGGGTGTTGGTAGGCCCAGAACCTACCATGTTGGACAACTCGTGAAGAAGGCTTCGTGGACTATATGTGTCGCTTCCTCCACTCCAGAAAACTATAACGAGTGAGCCTTCTGGCGCTCTGGCGCCCCCGCCGGGCTCTCATAGGGCCGTCCCTCCTGGACGTTTTCCGGCGCTCTCTCTCTCTCTCTCTCGCGGCGTGTGGCTCGTTTTCGAGGGCCCAGGAAAAGGAGGGTGCGGAGGAGGAGGAGGAGGAGGAAGAGGAGGAGCACGAATTGGAGCAGAAGCAGGAGAAAGGAGCATGATAGATGTTCGTGGACGTGCTTGCATTCGGGGCCTCGGCGCTCGAAAGATCCAGCGCGGAGCGGGGCAGCTTTCATCCGAGTCTTCCCCTCCCGCCCGTCCTCCTCCATGTCCTTTTGCACCTCCTCGTCCTTGCTCCTCCGCCTCCTGCTCCTGACCCTCAACCCTCCCTGCTCCTTCTCTCATGCTTCTGCTGCTGTTTCCTCGAGCCAGGAGGGGTTGCTCATCCCTCGCGAGATGATGGAGGGCGTCGAGGTAGCGATAGAGTACAACAAGGGGACGATCCCTCGGCACGAGAACCTACTTGGAAAATCGCGTCCGGCGCAGGTGGGCCGCCTGCGGAGAGATGAGGATGATAAGGATGAGGAGCAAGATGCGGGACAGGAGGAGCTGGACCAGGAGGATGAGCGGATGGGCAGGATGAGGAGCCGGAGAAGGAGCATGAGGAACATGATGACGGGAAAAAGGTGGAATCATGAGGAGAGCGCATGATGTCTTATTTTTTTTCCCTACCTAGGCTCTGCCTGGAAGGGTTCTTTCTTACTATATGAGCGTAAAGGACCGGGCAGTGGAACGCGCCCCGGGCGGTTCCCCCGGCATCCGCCCCGCGGTTCCTCCAGTCCCCTGGGAGTTAGCTTTAGCTTTAGCTTAGCTTTAGCTTAGCTTTAGCTTAGCTTTAGCTTAGCTTTAGCTTCGCTCCAGCTTAGTTTTAGCTTAGCTTTAGCTTAGCTTTACTGTTACTACTAATGCTGCTTTCCTAGGGGCTCCAACTCCTAGGTAGGGTCGCACTGGGATAATTAAGTTGACACCCCATGAGGAGGCGGAGTGGAGTCACATTATATTTGCCTTTACGCGATTCCTCGACAGGTCCTTCGATCATGGATCGGATCGAAAGCCACTGGAAAAGAAGGAGGGGGATGAGGAACACATTCGAAATTGCACTACCGCGATGCACTACAGCTGTTTTAGGTAGGAGACGGGTGATTTCTGGATCTCGAGTGTCTCAATTGGAACATCGCATCCACTGCGCGCTGAAGCCTTCTGAGGTCTAGGAGGAATCGATTTTGAGTTACGTTCCTGCAGCAGTTGTGGTGCAGATTCAGGCCATGAGAGGGGAGGGGAGGAGGAGGAGGAGGAGGTGGAGGAGGAGGAGGAGGAGGAAGATGAGGAGGATAAGTAGGAGGAGGAGAACGAGGAGGGTAAGGAGGAGGAGGAGGAGGAGGAGGAGAACGAGGAGGAAGAGGAGGGGGAGGAGGAAGAGGAGGAGGAGGGGAAGGAGGTGACGAGCACCAGGCGAGGAGGAGGAGGTGGAGGACGAGGAGGATAACGACGACCATGATCAGGACGACAGCGACGGGTTGGATGAGGACGAGGGGGGACGAGGCGGGCTACCTCAAGCAGACCACGACCAACACGCTCAGGAGTTTCTGGGTGAGGCCAGGGTGGGAAGCGATGAGGGGGGCAGCAGGAGATTGTTCATGGTCCGCAGCGTGCATTAGTACAATCCGTACAGCGCCATGCCTTACGAGGACATCGACACACCACCACCATCCACCATGCCTGACCATCCAGGATGATGTGCAGACCCTCCTGGGAGAGCACATACTTGCGTCAGGGCACATGATGGCATTGGCCAGGCGTGGTGGTGGCGTTTAGATGCCCTCAGCGTATAAGCTGATACGTTACCCTTGATCATAGGCCCCCAACTAGTCTCGAGGTGCCAGCTGAATCAAGGCTGCTACGGGTGTGAGGTGTTTCATCGTGGCCCCCGCTCGAACAGTCGGCGGCGAGTCTAGGGGGGAAGTGAGAGGGGGCGGGCCTTTTCAGAAGGCCCGAAGTTTTCTTAGCTTTCCCCGAAGACAGTGAACACTTCACAGAAAGCCAGATGGCTTCTGAGACGCCCCGCTGCCTTTTGAGAAGGTTTCAGCCTCTGTGGGCCACTAGAGCAGAGATCGTTCAAGGTTGATGGGTTCACGAGGTGTCATAAATCAGGGCCCACCACATCATGACCCACGCCAACAACACGGCAGGAGTCTATCGTTCTCCGACGGAGGTCGTGGAGCCTTGAGGTCCTCTTTCCCTTCCGCGTCCTCCCCATTAGGCGAGCAGGCTGTCGTCCCCATGGGGGGGAAACGGAGGACCCCAGAGTCCGTCGACCCCCAGTGTCGTCCCTCCTGCTCCCTCCTCAGGCATTTGGATTTAGCACGCGCGGCCAGGCTGAGGAGCTTGGCCGTTCGGGGCAACGGCTGGCCGCGGAGCGGGCTAGCCGGCTCGCCACCGCGCGTACCTAAGAGGAGGGGTAGTTGTTTGTCGTGGACCTCCCTCTACTCCGTCTCTTTCTGGAGTCGCGCACTTGTTTCCTCCTTATCCCGTCGTTGTTGTTGTCGTCGTTATTGTCAGCGCCGTGGTCGTTGTGCGTATTGCTCCGCTCGGGGCCCTTTCCCCGCGTGCAGTAACAACCACCCGCAGACGATCCATTTTCCCGAATGAATAATCTTCTTTGTTTGTTGTGAATGCTCGGTTGTCCTCCTCCTGCTCCCCTCTTCTCCTTGTTCTTTATCTTGCATCTCACCATTGACTGTGGATCTCATGACGCTCCTCACGAAGCTGCTTCACATCGTCTTCCTTGTCTCATGCCTTACCTCATCCGCCCTCATTATTTCCCTGCACCTTTCTCGCCCACCTCATCCTCTGCCGCCTCCCCCTTTCCCCTCTTCATCTCCTCATCATTTCGCTAGTTCTCTGCCTCCTGCCCCTCAATTCGATCCTCGTTCCCATCATCCTTTCCGTCCTTATGCATTTCCTCCTCCTCCTCAGTCCTTCCTTCCTCACCATCCTTCTTCCTGGCCGCCCTGAGGAGCCAGGTGCGCAATATCCAGCCGACGCTGGCCCCAGCCCAGAAGGCTCACATCCGCGAGGCTCTCACGGAGAAGCAGCGCACCCAGGATCTCTCTTCTCTCACCACCTTTTTTTGCAGCCTCCCCTCCTCGCCGCTCCTTCTCACCCCTCCTTCTCAGCCCTCCTTCTCCTCGTGCTGCTGCTGCTGCTGCTGCTGCTGATCGCGATAATGGTGATGTTGATGATCATGATACTGACGGGGCTGATTATGGTGATGTTGCTGCTGTCGATGATAATACTGATGATGACGATGCTGATGATTGTGATGATGATGCCGATGATGACGATGATGACGATGATACTGATGATGACGATGACGACGACGATGATGATGCTGGTGGTGGTGGTGGTGAGGATGCTGATGATGATGATGATGCTGACGCTGCTGCTGCTGATGATGATGATGATGCTGATGATGATGATGCTGACGCTGCTGCTGCTGATGATGATGATGATGAGGATGATGATGATGATGATGTACATGACGGAGATATTCGATGATTGTGATGATCGGCAGGAGTGATGATGGGGTGATGATGGCGGTTATGGTAGTGATGGGGTAATGATGATGGTAATGAGGCCGATGAGGATGTCGAACGCGGACGCAGGACGATGTTTTGGAGTCCAGCCAAGAGTTTGCGACGTGTTGTGAGAGCGAGTGTTGCACAAGATGAGGCAGCAGGTAGGAGGGGGGCGCGGCTGTGCACGTCGAATGGGCAATGGATAGCACTCGGTCGAGCGCAGGTGGTTGGGCGAAGGGGAGTGGGCGGTCAAGATGAGTTGGTGTTCGACAGCAGTGTGGGTGGAAGCATTGAGCAGCGAGGACGGCAGAGGAGCGGGTGCTTGGTTGGAGCGGGTAGCTGTGAGGGGCACCTTGCATCCGCTAGCCACCCCAGTTGCGCAAGCCCTCGACGATGGACCCGGACGAAGTCATCAAGAACCGGGAGATAGCGAGGAAGATGGCGATCAGGCGGCTGGTGGTTTCTCTTAGCGTAACGTGACCACCCCACCAGATAGCAGCTGTCGACGGGAGGACTCATCGAGGATACGGTTACAAAGCTTTTTCCCTCGCCGTCCGACACAGAGAACTAGCCTACCTGCGACGTGATCGGCAGTGGTTTCATCGGCCATTGCGCCCCCAGGCACGCCTGTTGGTTCTGATGATGTGTTGTATCGCCTTGGCATCGCTCGGATGTGTGTTTTCTTCCTCGGCGAGGACAAGCGGTGAGCATCTTGGCTCATCTTACGAACAACTCAACGCACGAAATCGAAACATGCACAGGGAATCGACGCCCGAGCGATGGTAAGTGTGTTGTAACCCTTTACAAGCGAGCGGCGTCGAGGCACCGCAGCCTTACCTCTGGCTGGGCTCGTCCCCTTGCTCCCTTCTCGCCGCTCCTCTTCCCTAATATCATTGCGAAGGCCTTACGGCCGGTGCCGCCGACCCTGAGAACGACGAAGATGGAAACGAGGGGGGGGGGCAGGGTGAGGAGGATGAGTGGGAGGTGGAGAAGGATGTGGAGGAGAAGCAAAAGGAGGAGAAGGAGGCAGAGGAAAGCAGGAGGAGGGGGACCAGAGAGGGGGGGAGGAGGAGGAGGAGGAGGAAGAGGAGGAGGCCAGAGGCTTTCTTGGGACAACCTGGGGCTGTCTTGAGGCCGTCTTGGGCCGTCCAGGGCTCCTCTTGCGCTGTCTCGAGGCACTCTGAGAGGCCTCCTGGGCAATTTGGGGCTCTCCTGGGATGTCTTGGGGCAGTTTGGGGGCCCCTTGGGAGCCTCTTGGGGCCTCTTGGGGCTTCTTCGGGGCCTCTTGGGGGCCTCTTGGGGCTGAGAGCTCGAAATGTCCGTTCGGGTCCCCGTCTGGGCACTCTCCTGGAGCCGTCTTGGGATCCTCTTGGGCGCCTCTTGGGCCGTCTTGGCGCGTCGGCAGCGGAAGAGTCAAGAACGCCAACATCTTCCAAAAACGCATGGGAAATCCATGAATCTTTCTTCTTGGGGCTCTGGTGGGCAAGCTCCTGGAGGCCTCTTGGGGCGCTTTGCAGGCCTCTTGGGTCGTCTGGAGGCCGTCAAGGCGTCTTCGACAGATCGTTCGGCGATTCGGGGTTCTCTTGGACTGTCTTTGGGGCCTCTTGGGGCACTCTTGGCCCGTCTTGGGGCTTTTTTTGTGCTCCGGGACTCCCAGGGGGGGCGTCGTATTTGACCCCCCATCCCGGGACCCCCCCCCCCCCCGGCGGGGGAGGGATCGAAGGGAAGGGGCTTCCCTTCGACTCAATTCGACGTTGCTCAACTGTGCTTTGGCTGGCGCGCTGAGGAGGTCCCTGGGAAAGGGGGGTGCTTCGACGAGCCCAGGGAAAGAGGGGGAGTCAGGGAAAGGGGACGACAGAGACGACGACCAACGAATTACGGAAATGACGACTTGAACGGACAAGCCCCTCACACACGCCGACAGGGTCAGCGGATTTCTCCCTCTTGTTTCTGGTATCGATTTTTAATCCTCGTCCTCGTCCCTCTTTCCGCCAAAACCCAGCGCAAGAGCCCCCCCCGCAAAAGGGTTCTTTCGGACGGCGTGCACGATTTCTGTGTTGTTTACTGCCGCAGGACAGCGTGCACGATTTCTGTGAACGTGCAAGGATGCAGCAGCGTGGGGTAGCTCGAGCATGCGGCAGGACAGTACCCAAACTCCAGCATTGCAGGGCCAATCTTCTCAATCAACCGTGTTCAGAGGAGCTCGCGACCACCTCTGTGGGGACGGATCTCTTCTGGCAACAGAAGTATTCCTCATTCTGATGCGGCATCCCTTGTACAAGGCCAAATGCAGGGGAGCAGGCACAGTGCGATCGAGACGCAGGAGAAGGGGGGAACGACGTGTCCCTGAATGCATCGAGCCAGTGAGCGGCAACGCCACTCACATGGCAAGAGTGGAGAACTAGGTGCTTCCGCGATGCATATGACGTGTTCGGAGAAGGCCAACCGCAGCGACATGCGCATATGCTTAACATCTTTTTGGTAACGTCTCTGTCGAGTCGAATTGCCATCATAGCTGACTATATGAACTCGATGTTGCAATACAAGGTTGAGGGCCAGAGCTGTCGCCGAACGTAGTGGGCCTTAGAATCAACAGGGCCGGCTTTCATCGTTTCCGAACAGTGTCTCTTCAAAATGGAAGCGGCAAAACAGCGGCGAGCGGAAGCGGCAAAAAGCGGCTCGAGGATTGGGGCCGGAACCGGAAACACAACGGCGACGGAACCAGCCAAAAAACAGCGTCGGAATCCGCAACAACGACTGCAAAACGGAACTGGCGAAAAATCGGCGCCGTCTGGGTCCCAATATGCGCCGAATAATAACATTGCATTGTCAGCGTCAGTCCATTTAGCAGGCCGTTCTTCGAAGCAAGACTTGTTAAGGTCAATCGCGCAGTGTACCAGGGCGAGCAGAAAGAGCCACTCGTCAATATTTTCCAAATCGGGCAGTCAGATTGAGAAGGAAGAGGAGCACGGAGGAGGGAAGAGGGCAGAAGGAGGACGTTGTATTTTGCCAGGCCGAAGTGCTTGGAAATAGCGAAGTTGCAAACATACGATCGAGTACGAGGCAGAGACGATTTCAAATATGTTCGCGATCTCGCCTGGTCATTGCACGAGTCTCGGCATCCTCCGCACCAGCCGTTTCATCATTATTGAATCGCTTCGCTCATTCCGCCGGCCCGTATTGTGCCATCGCGGGGTCTTGGATCATTGGTCCGAAAGATACCCGTACCCGGGGCCAGCCAAGGTGGGATGGGCCGTCCGGGGGACTGGGCGCTTGCTACTGTGCCCGGTCAGCTTGCCCCGCGCGCGCCAGTGCAGCATCCGCGCGTCAAGACACAACGGCGCGCTCGATGGTTGGGTGTCTGATTGCAGCGACAAGCGCTGGTTTTTGTTAGGGACGTCTCGGGGCATCGTGGTGCGTGCTCGGTTCAAAGCCGCCCATATGTGGCGGCGCCTGTCCCAATCGATAAAAAGTTGCATCTCCTCGCTACCCTGGCAACCAATGCGTCTGGGCCTGCCTTGAGGAACGACGTTGCAATGTCGCGCCCCCAGGGGGCCGCAGCGGACACGTCGGGGACGGCTCTGGGGGGCATGATATGTGCTCGAGTGCGTTTTGGGCCTGCCGCCACCTCGGCTAGGTACGGGGACCTGCCTGAAACCACCGAAACATACCCGGACCTAGCTGGGGTGAGCTGCGGCACCCCAGCTAGGTACGGGTATGTTTGTTGGTTTTCATGGGGCAACCGCGCAACCGTACTTAGCTGGGGTGATCCACAGACGGCCGTCCAAGGGGGGCGGCCCCTGGCGACGTCGCCCAGGGCACAGATTCGCGATGTCTCTGCATCAAGCAATTCGCGATAGGGCGGTTGTCGCGCAATGACGTTTGCGCCAGAGTTGTCCGCATGCGCCCCCGAGCGCGCGTTGACTCCTCAACGCCCGGATGTGTGTCTGGGGGCGCGCCTCCGCAGTAGCTGGTCTACGTCGACAACAACCAACGCACGTGCGATCGGTGCTAACGTGCGCCCCGAGAAGACAGCGGTCTGCAATGCTCGATCGGCTGTCGTTTCTACACTTGTGCAGCCGCCGTCAGCTGCGACGAACGGCCCCCTGGCCCCTTGCCACCCTGTCTAGGTAAGGGTACGGGTATCTTTCGCGCTCGAGATCGGAGGGTCTTGGGAGCCCTTGGAAGCTTCGTGGGAGCTTATTGGGAACTTTGGGAGGCCTCGTGGATGGCTCTGGGTGGGCCCTCTTGGTGGTCTCTTGAGGGGGTCTGCCTGGCCTCTTGGGGGCCTCTTGGGAGCTTCCTGGGGGTCTCTTGGGGGCCTCTTGGGGTTTTCTTGCGGCCTGTTGGGGGCCTCTTGGGGCTCTCTTGGGGGTTTGGTGGGGCTATGTGGGGCCTTGTAAGGGCATTTCGGGGGCGTGTGTGGGCGGGAAGCTCGAAATCTCCGTTCGGGTTGCCCTTGTGGACTTCAATCATGGGGCCGTCTTGGGGCCTCTTGGACCGTCTTGGGGGTTTCTTGGGCCTTCTTGGGGCGCTCTTGGGCCGTCTTTGAGCGGTCTTGAGGGTCTCTCGGGCCGTCTTGAGGTAACCTTGGGGGCCTCTTGGACCGCCTTGAAAGGTGTGAAAGACGAAGAGGCGGATATGTTGAAAATGAACGCTTCCGTCAGGGAGTGACACGATTTTTGCTTGTGGGAGCCCTCTTGGGACGCCGCTTAGGGACCTCTTGGGGCGTCTTGAAGGCCTGTTGGGCCGTCTTGAGGCCATCGTAGGCGATTGGGAGTGATATTTCGGCGTCTCCCGGCTCCTTTGGACCGTCTGGAGGGCTTCTCGGGCCCCTGTTGGACCGATTTGGAGCCCTCCTGGGCTCCGAAAAAAAGTTCTTGAGGGTTTCTCGGGCCTTCTGGGAGCGCTCTTGGGCCGTCTTTGAGCGGTCTAGAGGGTCTCTCGGGCCGTCTTGGGGTGACCTTGGGGGCCTTTTGGACCGCTTTGAAAGGTGTGAAAGACGAAGAGGCGGATATTTTTAAAATGCACGTTTTCCCAAGGGAACGGGACGATTTTTGCTAGTGGGAGCCCTCTTGGGACGCCGCTTAGGGACCTCTTAGGGACCTCTTGGGGCGTCTTGAAGGCCTGTTTGGCCGTCTTGAGGCCATCGTAGGCGATTGGGAGTGATATTTCGGCGTTTCCCGGCTCCTTTGGACCGTCTGGAGGGCTTCTCGGGCCCCTCTTGGACCGATTTGGAGCCCTCCTGGGCTCCGAAAAAAAGTTCTTGAGGGTTTCTTGGGCCTTTTGGGAGCGCTCTTGAGCCGTCTTTGAGCGGTCTTGAGGGTCTCTCGGGCCGTCTCGGGGTGATCTTGGGGGCCTCTTGGACCGCCTTGAAAGGTGTGAAAGACGAAGAGGCGGATATGTTAAAAATGCACGTTGTCCTAAGGGAAGGGGACGATTTTTGCTTGTGGAAGCCCTTTCGGGGCGCCGCTTAGGGACCTCTTGGGGCGTCTTGACGGCCTGTTGGGCCGTCTTGAGGCCATCGCAGGCGCTTGGGAGTGATAGTTCGGCGTCTCCCGGCTCTCTTGGACCTTCTGGAGGGCTTCTCGGGCCTCTTTTGGACCGTTTGGAGCCCTCCTGGGCTCCGAAAGTGGACCTTGCCGGGACCTTGCTGGGACCTTGCCGGGGTGCTTTTCTTTTCGTCCAGGGACCCCCAGGGCCCGCCCCGCGCGCGCGAACTAGAAATATTGTTGAGCAGTTGCCGGGGATTTTAGCACGCCTCTGGCCCGTTGGGCCGGCGAATTATTGCACGTTGAATGTAAGGAACTCAGTCAATTGGGGAGGCAAACGAGCTAGGAAGGGAACGTCGTCAGCGGGTGGCCCAGATGAGTCGGGGCGGAAGGAGTGGGCGAGCGGAACAAACGGCGTTTGTGAACGATGTTGGCAGGCACAGGCTGGGAAGCATGACGGGCGCAGGCACGAGCAGCATTCTAGTGGCGAACGTTTGCAAATGGATTTCGGCACAGGGTCAACTTCAAGAAGAACCCGCGATCATTGGCAGACCGCAAGGCGGCGGATTGCGTAGCGGTGCTTTGTTTGTTCACGTGGGCCGCCGCCGCTGTTCCCGTACGGGAGAGAAGCCCGAACTGGACGACGAGGGCCATGTGCTATCTTGTCATCGTTGTTTTGACGAGCAGTTGGGTCGAACATGCTGCGAGGTGGAGAAGGGGAAGAAGGGGGTGGAGCGTGGATAGGAATGGGAGAGGGAGGAGGAGGAGGAGGAGGAGGAGGAGGAGGAGGAGGAGGAGGAGGAGGAGGAGGAGGAACCAGAGGAGGAGGAGGAGGAGGAGGAGGAGGAGGAGGACGAGGAGGGGGGAGGGTAAACATCATCTGCACAGCGTGGAGGGAGGAACGCGTTTTGTGCCGAACGGGCCAGCATGTTTCGCTTGTTGGCGTAACCCTGGGAAGCAATCAGTAAACCCTCCTCCCCCCCCCCCCCCTCATCAGAGGAAATTATAACGCTTCCGGCACCGGGGCCGGGGCGGAAGCGATATCCCCCCCACAGGTCACCAGAGGTCCGCGGAGGGGAGGTCCCCGGAGGTTCCCAGGAGGCATCCAGAAAGGCCTCCACAAGCTTCTGAATGCCCGGTCCCCTTTGGCATTCCTTTCAAGCCGCAATTGTTGGCAAGCGCGCAGGTTGTCGGCTCACGTAACCGCCAGCTTCGGGCCCGGGGGGGGGGGGCAAATTAATTAATTATATTTTTGTTTGTTTTGTTTTGTGCTAACGATATCGCCGGAGGGCGCCGCCCAAAATAATTATTTATTTTATTTTCTGTGCTAGCGATATCGCCGGGGGGGTTACTGTTTGCTTCGTAGGGTTAGATGCGCGGGCCCATCATTGGAGTTGGGGCGGGTCGGCGATCGCAACCGCATGTCAGACCATTCCAGTCGCTCTGCGAGGCAGTGGGCGCACTGCTCGAACAAAGCCCCGAGGAGCAGCGGAGAAGGTACCGTTGCAAACGTGGGTGCTTCAGCGGTGTGTGAGCTGAGCCCATTCAGGTTTGCGTGGGCCAGCAGTTTCCATCGCCCCTCGCCCAGCGAAAGGTCAGACCGCGGTGGTCTGCACCCGCACTGTTTTTCAAGGAGGCTCTTGCCCACTTCCGGGGAGGGGCGATCCTGGCCAAGTGAGTCCGGCGGTCTTCCACAGTGGGCCACCGCGGCCGCCCTCAAGCGCACCGAGCAGCTGGAGGGCGAGACGGCCCAGTGGGATTAATCCCTCTTTCTCTTTGGGCTAACGGGCTTTCGACTGCTGGTCTTACTTTTATTTTCCATGCGAAGGGCGGCCCAGTCAAGGATCAGGCCCGAGCCTCGAACACCTGTGGGTAGTTTCCCGCCGTCGGCTCCTGATGTTTGGTGTTGCGCCCTCCCCAGAAGCATGGTGATCAGTGAAAGCCTCTCGCTCATCCTCTCAGGTGTGAGAACTGGAGGATGCTAGTGAAAGGGCTCCACCCGAATAAGGTCGGGGTTTCTCGCGAGCTCTTTTTCTGTTTGCCTGTGCCCAAACTGATTGTGGGCCCTTGGCAGTGGATGTTCAAAGAAACTCCGCCTCCCTGCTCCCTGCTCCTCCTCCTTCCCGCTCTGGCCGCCCACGCCTTGCAGCGAGCGGCGGAGAGCGGCGAGCGGCTCCGCGACTCCGGCAGGCGGAGGGCGCCCGCGGCTGGCGCGCCCTCATCTTCATCACCATCACCATCGTTTCGGGCCTTGATCTGTGATGTTCCAACCTACTTTAGCCTTGATCACCAGAAAGGCATGGTGCTCGAACTTATTTCTGGGATGTGGTCCTTAAGTGCGAAGGGAACAACGTAAGCGTTGATCTGACTGCGGGGTGAGTCGATCATCGTTTGGGACGGGGAGGCGAGGGCATGCCATTCTGCCCGCAGGGGGGGGGGGGGGGCGTCCGCGGGGGAACGAGGGACGGAGAGGAGGGAGGGATCAGCGTTTCGCGGCCCAGCGCGCGTATCCAATTACGGGAGTGGTCCGCTATTCCCGTCCGGGGATTTCGAGGCCGTCCGCAGTTTATCGAGCGCTCGGGCTGCTTGTCCGAGAGAGCATAACGGTCAGGCCATGTGGGATCGCACTTTTGATGGAGGGAGGGGCGAAGAGAGGGAGCCCTTCTGGTTCGCCCTTCGCGGGCGAACATGGAAGCACCGCGGACACTTTTGTCCCAGCATGCCAGTGCAAGCGAGTGATCTTGGGCTGACGGTCATGGCACCACCACGCTCTCCCTTACATTGCCATCTTATCTTCACTGCCATCGCCCTCCACACGATTATCATGCTCCTGGTCTTGCTTCCCCTCAGGAGCCTCTCCTACTCCACCCACTCCCGACCTTCTTTCGTGCTCCTCGTTGCGGGGAATTGGAATATGGACATTCGCACCAGAAGCTGAAGGAGAGAGGACAGGGTGCTCGACCTCCTGGTCCTTCTCCCCCTTCTCCTCCTCCTCCTGGTCCTCCTCGTCCTCCTCTTCCTCTTCCTCCCTCTCTTTTCTCCACCTACTCCTCCTCGGCCTCCTCATCCTCCTGCATCTTGCCTAGATTGTACCACACATTCATTTTCGATGTCCACCCTCCACTCGCGCGCCTGTTCACGTTTGGGATGAAGAGTTTGGGGAGAAGGTGGAGGTGGAGGAGGAGGAGGAGGCGGAGGAGGATGAGCAGGACGGCGGCCGCGACAACGACGACGACCGTCCTCGGAGAGGCGGCGGAGCGCGGCGAGCCCTGCCCGTTCGCCGTCATGCCAGAGGCCGTCGTGTTTCAGGACTACGAGGCGCCCTTTTCTAGGGGCTGACCTTGAAACAAACGCCTTTCGGAGGATGTTCTCGGGGGGCTGGGGAGTGCCAAGCGTGTCCTTGGCGCCGCTGGTCTCAAGAACACCCCTCATGAGGCCCAGAGGGCCCTGGGGGCTCCGAAAGGGCACGAAAGCCCAAGGGCACATCGGGCCTGGGACCAATTGGGCAACTCCCGATTGGAAAACTCCAGCTACATGTCAAACCAAGCGGAGCGGTCCCTGGCAAAGCTGTGTGTGTGGCGAATCAGTCTTTGGCAAACCGGTTCGGGCGAGCCGATCCGCCGGCGAATCGTTCTGGCGTCTGTGCCTGCGCCGTCGGCTGAGGCGGGAAGGTATCCCCATCCAGCGCCCCACGAGGTCCTAGGGGGCGTGCACGCCTCCAGATCGGTGGATATGAACATGTCATTGGCGTGTGGTTTGAACTGTTCTCTATCACGGGGGTCGCCAGCTATTCGTCAGCACCACGGTGGTTTTTACGTTGTGGGGCCGTCAAGGGGTAACTATGACCATCAGGTACAGGGACTCTTGGAACTCCTTTTCCGCGGAAAGACAGCATTTGGGTCCAGGATGTGTTTCCACTTGGATGTCTGACGAGCTAGAGCATGGTATAGCGAGAGGTACGTGATGTACATGCACAAAGAACATCGTGAAAGAAGCGGTATGTGTGCACAGAACACCATCAGAGAGAGAGAGAGAGTGTGAGAAACACTAACAAAATATGTATACAGAATTATAGAGGGCGTGTGAGCGAACGGGAAGGGAAATTGCCCCCCCCACCAGGCACACACGACGTCTGCGGAACGCCACATGATGCTACTCGACATCGCTCGGACTGTGCATTCTGTCCTCGGCAGGATTTGGCAAGGCCCATTGAGGATCGTTTTGGATATTGGATCCTTTTTTCGAATGCGCGAACGCACGATATCGGGGAATGGACGTCCGAGCGACGGCGAGCTCACCCGCCCTGCCCAAAAGAGCACGGGCTCGTGTGCTCTGCCAGCGTGCCTGGCACCGGTACAGCTTGCTCGCCCCCCACCGCGGCGGCGCGCACACAGGGGTGGCGCCAGGGGGCGGGCTTCAAAGGAGGGGCCAGGGTCTCCTGAGAGGGCGTCTCCTTGACATCGCTCGGACGTGTGTTTTTTTCCTGGCGAGGACCATCGAGGAGCTTTTCGGACCATCTGGACGTCCGAGCAGTGGCGAGTGTCCGCGGCGCGCCCATCGGGGTGGCGTGATGGGGGCGGCCTTCCAAGAAGTGGCTGGGCCAGGGGGCTCTGGCCGAGGAGCCAACAACGGCAGAATCACAAGCTTTCGGAGCTCCGCGCGGACTTCTCGGATAGGCGCTGGAGCCTCCCGGCGACGCCTCTGGCGTCGTCTTCGGTGCGCTCCGCGCGCCACGGAGGGGCTCCAGCGCCGATCCGAGAAGTCCGCGCGGAGCTTCGAGAGTGTATGCTTATGCACTTTCGTTTCCTCCTCCACCATAGGTGTGGCGCGAAGGGGGCGGCCTTCCAAGTGGGGGCCCGGGGATTCCTGAGAGGGCGTCTCGGGAGGCCGCCTCCCTCGCCATGTCCTGTCCTGCCCCTCTCCGCGCGCCGCGGGTGACTCTCCCTCTGGAGGTTTCCTTTGCAGCCTCTGGTGGCTTCCAACGGCCAAGTAGTGAAAACCGGGATTGCCCGCCCTCCCCCCCTTCGAAGAAGGATAATGATAATGAAGACGTATATGTATAAACATACACTTTCAGAGCTCTGCGCGGATCTCTTGGATCGGCGCCCGGGCTCCCCTGGAGGCGCCTCCGGCGCCGCCCCCTGGCGCGGTCCGCGCGCCAGGGAGGGAGTTCCAGTTCGGATCCGAGAAGTCCGCGCGGATCCCCGAAAGTTTCTGGTTATGCATTTTTGTTCTTCCTCTACCCCCTTCTCGGACGTCGATCCGCACCTCGACCTGGAACCTCATACTTGATTGTCTTGGTTCTTAAACGGCCCTGGGCTTTTCCGTTGACCGTTTTGAACTGTGGTTTCTTTGACCAGTTGAAATGGCAAAAAAAAGCAGGCTACGCTCTGAAGCTTTTGGTTTTACTGTTGTTTTAAAGCGTTTTGCGGCCCATCGCTGCCATCTTCGCTTCCGCTCTCCCGTTCCTGCCGCCTCCTGTTCCTCCCGCTCCGCGCGCAGAGCGCAGAGTTCACAACGCCCAAACAAAGCCCTAGCACCGCTCTAACACCGGCGCGGAACAGGCCCGAAGGCCCCTCGATCAGCCAGCAGCGACGACCAGAGGAGAGCAGCGTGATTCGAAACACAGCACAGGGAGGTCTGGACGCAAGGAGAAGGAACTGAGGACATGGCAGACAGCAGCGCTTAACAGCGCAATCAGCTTACCTGAAAACGCTAAATCAATGGATTTCAAGACGAAAGACACAATTATGATCTTCTCAGCGTGTAGATCTGACCTGAGAACGCGTTGAAACACATGCTTTCCAACACGCCGAATTTAACATGCCCAGGGCATTTGAAGCAGGGTGGTTTTTTGGTACGGTGAGGGTGGTCTCGTGGGCCCCCAGAGCACCAAAAGCCAATCCCTCCTCCTGCAAGGACCTCCTGGATCTCCAGGTCGGGAGTGGGGGTCCTGGCTGCGACCGGGGTTGTGCTGTCCTCAACCCCGCTTTCTTATTGAGCCACGCGTGTCCCCCTGGGCTCCACTGCTGGCAGTCGCATGAAGGGGGCGGAGGCGCTGGCCACGCGGCGCGCACCCGCCGCAGCGGCCAGGCCGGGGGGGTCTACCATATCGACGTGGAGTTCAGGAACGTCACCAAAGGAGTCGCCTTTTGTGCCCAAAGCAGTGCGGTGGCGACCTGAAGCTGCTGGCCATCCTTCGTCCCTCCGCGGTCCTCTTCCTCATCCTCGCCTTCATTTTGCTCCTCGTCGTCCTCCTCATCCCTCTTTCTACTGACTCCTTCCCTCTCCTCCGCCTCCTCCATCGCCATGGAGCTCAGGGGCGTTACCCTCGGAGACGCCTTCTTGCGCTTAAGGGGGGGCAAGATGAGGAGGTGACGGGGAGGTTGTTCGCATGGTTTTTGCGCCATTCTCAGTCTGCGGGTACCCGTTTTGGACACAACACGTTGACGCGTCGCGTATCCCCACCAGCGTTCGCAAATTCGCATCGTGCCGCCTGCCCCGGACTTTGCCCCTCGCCGCCAGACCGTTGTCGCGCGGCCGCAGACCAAAAAGTATCCCCACCAGCCCATCCAGAAACGTTCTCTTGGATAATTCAATCGCGTACGATGTCGCGGTTCTTTCGAAGGAGGAGGGGAATATTGTGGAGTATTCAGGCGGAGGGATTCGGAGTAGAACGATGATTCGTAAGGAAGATGGATGAAGAAGAGGTGAGGGCGATCAGAAGAATTAGTTGTGACGAACTGCATTCCCTAATCAATGTCTGGTGATTTCTAGGTGGCAGGAGGGGGGGAGGAGGTGGGCGACATACCTTCGCGGATGTTTTGATATCGGCGCCTCTTTGATGATGTTGTCGTTGGTCAGTGTTTCTCGACAGGGTGTAAGTTTTTTCTCGCGCCAGGTGCTGCGCAACACTCGACCCCCTCGCCAGAATCACTTCTGGCCCCGCGTCCCTTCCTGTTTCTCCCTCGCGCAGTCATCCTCCTCCCCCTCCATGCTCCGTCGAAGCCTCCATCCTTCCAACCATCATCCCTCCCCCTCCGTCCTCCTCCTCCTCCTCTTGACCCCCTGCACTGTGGGCTGCACCCGTCAGGCCCCTCCCTGCTCCTTCCTTCCCTCCATTCTGCCCTTTCCTAGAACGTGGCTCCCGGCCCATTCACATCGAGAGTGCGTCTTGGGCACAGATCCCGATACGAGCTGGGGTCACAGCGCCCTCGCCCAGGGGATGGGCCTTCTTTCCGTCAACCCGTTGGTCATGGCCGCGACCGTTGGGTCCCGCAATCACACATGGCATGCCCTCGGCATCATCCATTGGATACTGGCTGCGAGTGCGGGTCCCCGCAAAGCCAGTCCCACGAGAACCTTGAAGGGCTGCCGAATGGCAGCAGGGCCACTCGCAGACCTGGAAGATGGGTCGGCTATCTTCTTCCCTCCGCCCTCTTCGTCTTCATGTTGCTCGCCAACGGCCGTTCTAGCCCATGGCAGTCCTTGATAGGCGTTGCGAAGCCTGTGTTAGGCACAGCACACTTGACTGTGGAGGACGAGCAGGATTCTGTCAGCGGCGCGGTCGGAGAGAAAAAAAAAGCACTGGAGGACGAGGGGGATCAGAAAGTTAACTGGCATGGGGTGGAGGAGGAGGACAGGGACGTGTCGTATGCATAGAAAGAGAGACAGGCGGGAGGAAGAGGATAACGGCGGAACGGGATTGACGAGTGAAAGGATGATGACGAAACAAGATGGAGGACAGCGTGGACAACTGACGATCGCGAGGCAGAAGGAGTGCGAGGAGAATTCGGGGTCGAGACGGGGCTGCAGGAGGAGCACAATGTGGAGGATGATGGGGGAAGACCAGGAGGGGGAGGATGACGACGACGAGCACGGCGAATCGACGAGGGCTGATACTCAGCAGCAGTGGATCGGTTCGGTCATGGCCGTTAGACGCTCTCCCCATGAGCGTAAATCATTCCAGCGCTCTCCAGTCGGCCGCTCGCTGCGGGTGATACCGCCGAAGGGCGGCTCCTTCTGCGCCGAGCCCTTGCGCTACGAGGAGGGGCGGAAACCGGCAAGCGTCTTGGTAGCCAGGATGATTCGGATAAGGATCAGGAGGGCGATGCCGCGATGATGCCGTTACCGATGTCTTCCTCCATTGCCCCGCTCTAAGTCATTGCCTTCCCTAGTTTTCCCCCAGCCATCCTCCTCGAATTCTCTCCTCGGTATCCTCCTTTTGATCCTCGTCGACATCCTTGTCTACGTTGCCGTCGGTTTCGCGCGTCGTGTTCTCCGTGCCTTCCGTGGCCTCTTCCCCGCATCCTCAATCACATGGTTCAAGGCACTTGGAAATAAACCGAGAATGCTGGAGACTTGGCTTGGTGCACCGTAGACACCGGGATGGCATGGGCCGCGTGTTTTAGACAATGGCTGGGCTGTCCAGGAAGCTTACTCACAGGGTCACTTGGTTGATGGAGGGGGGTACTCTACGATACGATGCGATACGATGCGTCAGCACTGGAGGCCAGTTCATCAAGTGCGTCCCTGAGCTCCCGTCGCACTGCGTAGCTTAACATATGAGGCTGGGAACAGCAGCAGAATATGAAACATTCTTCAGTCCGAGAAGCCAGTTCTGACCCTTTGCGGCAATGATGCCGACCGCTGATCTCCTTCGGGTCGTGGCCCTGCGACGACCACATAACCGCTAGGCGGCGGGGACCGCCTTGGCGGGGAAGGCCCCGCGACGATCCAGCTGGCACGCCCATGCGAGACAGCATCGGCGAGCTCGAGCGGGCCCTTCGGCGCTGTGCTCATGAGCTGTTTTGCTTGCGCGTCCTTGAGCACCGCGTCCATCAGAACATTCACCTGCGCCTCTGGATTCGAATTGCAGGCGCACCTTTCCCTCCATGTTCTTGGAGCCAGGTCGTCGGGGTGTCCTGAGCGAGAAGCGGCGGATGAGCGACGCCAGATGCTGAGGTGTCCTGCCTTTGATGCGAGCGTTGTAGAACTCCGTCGCTCTGGCCAGAAGCTCGGGAGACGCGGACATCATGGCCCACACGGTCAGGAATCACAGCATGACGAAGGAGGGCCAGGCTTGAGTCGTCGCAAGGTATCTCCCGAGCGGCACGAGGCAGGTCGACAGCACGACGGCGAAGAACAGCGCTTGCTCGCGAGCCGTGGCAAGGGAGAGCCTGGTGATCTTCGCGACAAGATCTCCGTTGCCTTTGCTTTTCCCCTTGGCATCCTTCAGGTTCGGCTCTGATCCTGCTACCGCTCCATCCTCTGCAAGGCTCTTCGGGCGTGGCCCTTAGCTGCACTCCGACCCGCGAGGGCATCTCGTCTTCTCCGCGCGGGTCCGCGCCTATGTCTGCGAACTGGGACGGTGACGCGGGCGGGACGCCCCAGTTGTATTGGGGACCACTTAATACCGTCGGGCCACACACTCTAATGATCAAGGCGCCTGGCACTTGGAGCTCCGTGAGCGCCGACGCTCTGTTTCCTCGCATGCTGTGCAATGGCTTGTCGACGCGATATCAGGTGAAAACATCATCCTTTGCATGCGCAAAACGTATGGGATGCGCCCACAGTGGAAAGTGTTTCCGCACGGGCCGGTTCATCTTCCAAGGACTTGTGTGCAGACGTTGAGTTAATAAGGGCTCCTGCTTCTTCGGCCTCCAGGGGGCCCAGCAGAGAGCCTGTTCCACGAGGGGCAACATGCACACCCAGGTTGGCACTACGGAGAGCAGCGGCTTCAATTCCCTCATTTTGATCCGGCAGCGCACAGTTCTTCACAGTCCAGCCGCTCCCTCGGACACAGTCGCGCGCTGTTCAATGCCCGCTGGGACCCTCATCGCCCACGGATTTGCATCAGGTCTAATCGAGGATTGCTCCAGGATGCCATTTTCTCAGTGAGAATTGCCAGGCCAAGCAGGGGTCAGTGCCCGTGGGGTTCGGGGAGAGCAAACACACTTTGATACCGCGTCAGCCGTCCTACACTGAATAATCTTCCAGTGCTCGAGCACTGGTTGGGAGGCCAGCGATCGGGCGCGGCGCGCATCTTCCCAATCTGCGGTGTTGGTCGCGTGTATATACATATGTGTGTGTATATATATCGCTCTGCGACCCCAGCCAGCCACCATCAGTGGTCGCGCTTGTGGAGTTGGCCCATCATTTGGCAAACACGTCGTCCATCGCCGAAAAGGCTGACCCAACTACACGACATGTCAACAGGCATTCCCTCCGTTGGAAGGGGATGTTGGGTTGCTGTCTGAATCGCCCCATGCAGAACGAAGCAGACTTCGCGACCTGCATTCGCTGTCCAAGTTCTCACAGATAAGATCTTGGCCAGGCCAAACGTGGACCAATCAGCCGTACAGAGTCTCCGCATCCGCTCTCCACCTCCCCATCCATGCTAGCTGCTCCACGCTTGGCCGAGAACAGCCCCCTGCCTCTTCGGAGTTCTCTTGCGGCCGATCCCAGCCAGCTCAGCGTCGAGCGACTCGTCACTCTGCTTCAGGTCTCACCTGGTCGGCCAGATCCGAGGGGAACACAGCAAGGCCCCAGGACTCGCCTGTTCAACAAGTCGTCGGCGCACCTGCGAGCTCCACGCGCACCTTCTGGGGGTGCAGAACCTCGCGCTTGGAAGCGCGCCCCTGATCCAAGGGGCCCACGTCGCGCCCCCTCGAGATCCGGCGATCGACCGCGGGGCGAAATGCATGCACGAACGACGGCGCGGATAGCGGCCCCCATGGGGCACGCCGCAGCTTCTTCTCAACAGCAGGTCACCGCCCTCCGCAGGAAAGGCTGTTCACGCCAACTTGCATCGCGGATGACTCAGCGCCTCGCGCCAGGCTCTCGGCCGCGTCATTTGTCGCGCGAATGCGGCTCTCATTTGATTTCTTTTCTGCTCCGCTATGTGCCCGTGCTCCCTCCATCCCGTTATAGTTCTCTCTTTCTCTTTCTCGCTCTCTCTCTTCCTCTGTTTCTTCTGTTCCCTCTCTCTCTCTCTCTATCTCTCTCTCTCTCTCTCTTCCCCCCTTTATTTCTTTTTGTTTTTTCTCTCTCTCTCTCTCTCTCCCTCTCTCTCGCTAGTTATCTCTCTGTCTCCCTGTTTCTCTGTCTCTTTCTGTCTCTCGCTCTTTCTTTCGCTCTCTCTCTCTCTCTCTCTCTCTCCCTCCCTCTCTCTCTTTCTCTCTCTCTCTCTCCCTCCTCTCTCTCTCTATTTGTTTGTTCTCTCTCTCTCTCTCTCTCTCTCTCCTTTCTCTCTCTCTCCCTCTGTCTATATATTTCTCTCTCTCTCTCTCTCTCTCTCTCTATATATATATATATATTGTTCTCTCTCTCTCACTCTCTCTTTCTCCCTCTCTCTCTCTATTCGTAGTTTTCTCTATATCTCTCTCTTTCTTTGTTTTTTCTCTCTCTCTCTCTCTCGCGCACTCTCTTTTTTGTTTCTTTTTTTCATGATTTATCTCTCTGTCTCTCCCTCTCCCTCTCTCTCTCTCTCTTCATTTCTTTAGTTATGTTTTTTTTTTTCCCCTTTTTCCTCTCTCTCTCTCTCTCTCGTTTGTTCTCTCCCTCTCTTTATCTCTTCCTGGCCCTCTCGCTCGCTTGCCGCCGCGGGTCGGCTCGAGCCGGGGGGGCAATCGGAAGTGGGGGCCTGGGGGGAAAGGACGATTTGCTCTTGACCTCTGCCGGGGTCCGCCGCCGCCCCCCGCTGCGAGGCCGCGAAGCGCCGCGGGCGCGCCATGGCGAGAAGCATTTCGACGAGCAGCTAGCCATGGCGCGACGCTGGGGCGAGTGAGTTGAGCGGCGGCAGCGACGAGGACGTGATCCGCGAACGAGTGCTGCGACGAGAACGACGTCGCAGCTGACGAGAGCTGCCCCGTCGCGCGAGGGCAGGGGGCCGGCGATGGGCGGCGGCGCCCGTAGCTTGGGGGCGCTGCCCCAGGAGGCCCACCCACCGGCGGCGGCGGCGAGTGGCGGAGGCGATCGACTGGCGCCTGCGCGATTGCAGGAGGCGCCCATTGCAGAGGGGACTTCGGGCTTTCCGCGCTGGGGCGGCCGGGCGCCGCGCTGGCCAGAGATGCAAGGAGGTGTTTGGCCACGTGGATCGAGGGCGTCAGCCTGCGCGCCCGGTGGCGACGGGCTGCCCCGGCGGCGCGATGCCTGACAGGCGTGGCGAGGGCGGTGGGCGAGTCCATCCCGATTGACGAGTTGCGCGCGATGCCCCGGGCGCGGGTCGCGGGCCTTCGCAAGGGAGGAGGCGCCGATGAAGACGAGTAAGACGAGGGGCAAGGCCGTCGGGAGGAGCCCAACCCTTGGCGGGCATCAACAGGCAGATGGAGGTGCTCGCGACCGCTAGCGTGGACGCGCAGTCGTGGCGCGACCAGGTGATGGTTTACCTCTACAAGCAGCTGCGCTGCCGCGCAGGCGAGGGCTCGATGACCTTGTTCGGTGAGGCTCGTGGCCCACTGGGCCTCGGGCTGGAAAGGCAAGACGATTCTGAGGCGTTGTCGACGATCTTACGCGAAGTTGAGGGCGACCCCGAACCGGCGCAAGTGCTCGGCACCCTAGAGACCCGCCAGGGGTCAGCGATGGAGGACCCCATCGCGGCGCGCGATAGCAAGGGCCGAGCAGGGCGCTTCAGTTTGGCAAGGGCAAAACGGGCATTGCGAGCTCCAGCAGCGGGGGGAAGTTTGTCGGCGCGGGCGGCAAGGGCCATTCGAAGTCGACAAGTCGAAGACGGAACGCTACGCCCGCGGAAGGACCAGCCGCTGGGCTGGAGACGCAGGTTGCCCGAAGTTCAAGGATTTGGGGCTGAGCAAGCGAAGCAGAGACTGAGGCAGCGGACCAAGCCGGGGTGGCATGCACCTGGTCGACCTGTTTGACACCCGGGAGGGCAACGACGCGCTGAAGGCCGACTTGCTCGAGGCCCGCGTCGCCGAGGTCACGGCTGAGCAGTCCGCCTTGCGCGCCGCATCAGCTGGGCCGCCGCGGGAGGTTATGTCGTCGCCGGCCCCTGTCGGCGGACGCGGAGACGCTGCATTCAGTCTGCAACGG